TTAGAAAAATGATTTTAATTTTTTGGTACATCAATCTCTTAGTGGTTCTATATTTTATGTGGCATTCCGCCTAATAGTGATTCTTTTTTAAGTGAACCGTTGTATGTATGTCAATATTTTAATCTGTAGCTGAACCTTACTGCTCAAAGCTTAAATAAACCCAAAAGCTTCAAATAAAAATTGGAAATTTGTTGCATTTTCTACGTGAACGCATAAAATTTGCACGAACCTGTAGGTTTGGGGCAAAGATATTGGAATTTAAATGAGTTCGTGTGTCAAGTGCTCAACATGAACACACTTTAGTATATCCATATGTACATCCATACATATTCCCAAGTATGTATATAAATTCGTACATATGCATAGTATGTAGGTTATGAGGTAAATATTAAATGTTTCTATTAAAAAATATCCTCGATTAATTCGTTTTGATGAGAGGTCGTCATATTAAATTAATTAGTTAAATTACATACATAATTTAAATTTGTTCTATAGAAAATTTCATTAAATTAATTAGAAAAAAAGGAAAAATAAATCGGATACAAAAATTACGAGTTGAAACCTGCACTGGGTTTCGAACCCACATACTCATTTTGTATACTATGCTCAACTATAGCGTGTGTAGCAGCAAAAATATGCCATCTACACCGCTGTTGAGTGCTTTTGTTGACTTGCCAGCTGGCACAGTGGCCTGATGGGTAAACGTTTGCTTGCTGTGCGGAAGGTCGCTGGTTCGATTACAGAATATAAAAAAGTATTTTCTTGATGTTATTTTTTCACGTTATATGTATATATATGTAACACAAGCATAATTTTACGAGAATCTTAAAACTCAAGTGAAAACAACCGTGTTTAGAGTAGTCTTAAAGTTTTGGAGGCTCTTAAAAATTTAGTGCGCATCATCCACGCGCACTGCCCTGAAATTTCTACTCCATAAAGAAAAGAGTCAAGTACTTTTTTTTCCCCTACCTAACCAAAAATTTGCTACGAAAAGCAAATTCCGTCAAAAGGAACATTAAAAAAAAAAAGAAACGTTTTACAATATAAGATTTAAACCACCTACAAATACTTACAATTTACTTCTAAATTAAACTCAAAATGTTAGACGTGTCTAGATATCTTTGCATTGCGCAAAAGATGTTAACTGTATCTAACCCGAAAAGTGAATGACTCATTTTGTACCCTGAGGTAGTTTTTATATGCAACTTCTCAGCAACCGAGAGTGAATTGCAAGAATGAACAAATTTGTGGGGACTGACGGAGGTAAGAATCATATTATACATACATATGTACATGGACGGAGGTAAGAAGCACATAGGTATACCAAAACTAAACTATAAACCGGTTTCAATGCATTCATGGAAACTTGCAACTGGAGTTGGGCAAGTGTTGCTAACACCGAAATGTGTGGCTTATGCTCACACGGCAAAGCAAAACCGAAGGTGTACAAAATCTATTCGAACCATGAAAACATAAGCAAAAATTTTTACTACAAAGTATTGAAGAATTTTAAAATTATTTTATGTCAAAATAATTATAAAATCGCAGACTTATGTTTGAAAAGGAAATTTTCTTAGGAAATTTATGCTTAGTATTAGAATGTTAACGAAGATTCTCAAAAGTGCTTTCTTTACCAGACTCACAACGAAAATTATATATATTTTTTTTATATTCGGTCGCTTTTAGCAGATAATTTCAATCCTTCCTACTGTTTTTCTGGATAAAATGAAAAGCTTCATAAAAACCCACCAGCTGTTCAAAGTCGGCTGTGAAACGTCAAATCGCATATTAGAAATTGGAAAAAAATATATATAGTATATGTATACATTTACTATACAATTGACGCTTTCTAACCGCTGAAGCGATTTTTCGACGGAGCTCATCCTCCAATTTGTGGTTTTGTGTTTTGACGTTTTTCCAACAAATGGATGGACTTACAGTTTATGCTAAGCCGCCACCGAACGGCTGATGGTTTTTTTTATAAAGAGCTTTTTTTCATATCCGAAATACCCTCGGAGGGGTCGGCATTCCCTATGTAAATATTCATACATACAATACATATATTTTGATATAATCTTTTGTATTGACTTTCGATGCTTGATTTGGTTTTTTCTCTACCCATCCATTATTTATATTATATACATAACTCTTTGGTAAGGAAACTGTTTTAAACAGTTGAAAAACGTCTTGAGGTCAAGTTGAAAATTATTCGCTTGATATAAGTAGACATTTACTAGTTGAATACCAATCACTGTGAAACTTAACTTAACTTAACTCAGGTTGATATTGTTGGGAAGTATGTATAATGGGTGGCTGCAGTATAAATTAAATCCCGAAAATTTATATCCAATGAAATTCACATCACTAATATGAAAGTATCTGTACTGTTCGCCTGTACACATATTCCCACATATTACCACTACAAACGTACTTGTATAGTGAGCTACAAAAATATGGGATTCGCATTTTAGGTACATTTTAACCAGGCGAAAGCACCGGTTTATTTGAGTATTACATTCAGTAAAATAATTAAAAGCAGAAATCTATATATCGTGGGCTTAAACCTGCGCAATCTAATGAAAAAATCAAACATCAAGAGCTATTCACATATATATGCATATGTATGTACGTAACATAAGTAGCCAAAAACATAACGACTCAGCTGATGCAATCTATCCGCTTGCCGATGCCGTTACTGATGTACTATGTACCGTAGAAATCACCATAAACTACATAAATAAATGAGTTCCGAAATAAGTTCACGCTGTAATCTCTATGAATATAGTTCTCGCGTATTTACTTCAATTTTATGTTCAAATATACAACAACATTTCGCCGCTGCCAGCAACGGTCATAACTAGTGTCTACGTATTCCTCTTTCAGTCGGGCTATACGGCTCGGAGGTACATAAAATGTCTAGTTGAGCTATTAGTTATTTCCTGAAACGCTGTACACCTCGAGGAAATTAGTTCATAAGCGATAACCCTCTGGAAATCAGTTTGATTCGATTTATTTATAATTTATGTTTATATTTACAAATAAATTTCAAACACCTTTCAAACTTAGCAGATTTTTAAATCCAGTTATCTATAGCGTTAGTGATACGAACAGCCAAATTATAGAAAATCATATTAAACATTTTTGGAACTAATAGAAAAAAAGATTTAAAAAAATAAAAATTTATATAACATTTTAAATTTCCTTAATGAAACTGAAATGAAGCCTTAAAGTCTACAGTTAACTTCCGAATCTATGATGAGATTTAACTATTTCGAAACATTTCATTTATTATTTCAACCTAATTGGAGTTTCTATTAAACTCTGTTTTCATGAATGAAATATTGCAGCCAACCCTACCTGACGATTCCGACTCGTCCAAAGATATCCGCAAACCAACAGCAAACGCATACTTTTGCTCACCCACTGTGCTTTGTTTTGTGTATGTACATAAATACATATGTAACCTGACGTCATTCAGCGAATGCTTGGGCTCGTATTGAAGACTGCCGCTACTTGACTGCGCATGACAAGAAAACAAGCATTAGCCGCATTTGTGTACACCAGCAAAGGTGGTGACTAAACAAATTTATACACGAACATTTAGCCATACACGTAGATACATGCATATTAATGAGATACATACAATCCAGCGAATACACATTTGCACAACCGTATATACAGTAAATGATATCACCATCATTTCCCTCATTCGTTTTGGTGACTCTACTCTGCTGTTCGTTGCCTTGCTTGAAAATCATTTTACCAGCACTTCGTTGAAATATTTCACTCCCTGGCATTTTGTTTACCAAAAATTCTCAACGCATTTATAAAATAACATATTGAGAAGTTGCTGTGTGGCCGCTATATGGTTATCGCTTCTCGGCCTTATGGCTAAGATCAAAGTGTAGTATCTGTTCTTATCAGCTTAACATCTGATAGATCCTCCATCGGAGGACAACAAATGTTAAACTGATTTTTGGAAATGGGCGGAGTGTTTTAGGGGCTTGCTCCACCTCTGCCGCGGGTTGGCCCGGTATTGCAGTACCGCCGGGATTTCGGCCCAAATAATTGAATAAATTTCACTTAATCGTAGAATGAGTAGTAAATTAAAATAAATAAGTTGTTGTTTAGCTCTTTAAAATCTGTAGGAGAGAGTAGAGAGGGAAATTCAAAATATGTAGACACATTTTTATAATGACACGTACGTTATGGGGGGAAAATAAATTTCGACCATAGAAAACAGGAAATTTTTTCATGAAAATATTCTTAAGTTCTTGTGAAATTGCATATTTAATTTCTAAGTTAGAAAATTAAGGAAAGAAAAATTTAAATTAAGATTTATATATTTCTTTACCTATTTACCATTTTTATTAATGTTTTTAAATACTTACAAGTTTTTCTAATAATTGTTTTTAAGACTAAGATAATTTTTTATATAAATTTCGTGTTTCTTTATTTTTTAAATTAATTAATTTGCTTCTAACAATTTTTAATATTAATTTTTCTATGCCATTTTTCTCTTCATCATTAATTTAATTAGTTTTTAATTTATTTTGTTAAAAACTTTTCTATTTTAATAGGTATTAAATAATAATATATTTTAAAATCTATTATAATAATTACAATATTTATAATATTTGAAATTTTTAATAATTCTTTATAATTGTTTTTGCGCTCATATTAATTTTTTATATAAGTTTTTAAGCCTGTGGTTTGTTTATGCGAAATTTGTTTTTATTTATTTATTTTTAATATATAATATAGCATAGCTAGTTTAAATATTCTCTTCCAAAATCATTAGAATTTTTCAATGATTTTCAATAATTTTTTGTAGTTTTTACTATTTTGTCACTTGTTTTTTACTCCTTATTTTTTTGTTTGTTTAGTTTTTTTTTACAATAAATTAATTAATTTATTTTACAATAGCAACAAATTATGCAATTCTCAACCGCTTAATTAACTTTTGCACATTTCTGCATCACAAATGCACCTGTTTATCCAAAAAGGGCGCTCGTCTTGCACGTCCTCCTTTTGGGGTCCAACCCCGCGTGCAGACGCATTGCGGTGGCCACGTTCACCTTGCATAAATTAGAAGTTTGATGCTCAGCGCTCAAACTCCTACTTTATTCGAGCGGCCTGGACACTCCAGTGGGGTATGGCTTTGCATATCCAGCGTATAATTTTTGTAAAGCGAGATTCGTGCAGCCTAAAATGCATTGCTCTTTAGCCTTGCCTTGTGGTCGGGTTGAATTGCGCAGCATGGGGGCCTCGATCTCGTCTGATGAATGCATTGAGAGTTTTTGATAACTGTAATTTGTGTAGCAGATTGCAAATTATTTATTAATTGCTTTGTTAATAAAAAAAATATTTCAATTAGATTTTTCTTAATTTTTTTAATTAATTTAATTTTTTTTTTTAGTTTTTTTGTTACATAATTTTTTAGCTTAAAACTACATCGTATTTTTTCATTTTCATGTTATAAATTTTTAAGTGCTTTTTTATTTTTACTTTTAGCTTAATAGCTAATTAAAGTTTATTTTTTTGTTATTTTCAAAAATTTTCATAAAATATATTTATTAATTTTTTGAACCGGAACAAAGAAAATTGTTTTCTATTAATTTATTTTAAATTTTTTCATTTCATTTTAAATTTATACAAAATTTAATTGTTGTTTTGGTTTTTTATTTATTATTTAATAACTTTATTCTAATTGTTTTAATAGGTATAAATTTTTGTACAATTTTATTTTTTGATTATAAAGATTTTAAATATACATATATATTTTAATTATCAATATAATTAATTTAGAATTTATTAACTTTGTTTATATCGTTCATTAGTGCCCCTGTAATCGAAATATATCTGGAGAAAACAAAACTTACATTGTTTTCTAATTATTCTTACCTCCAACCGGCAAACTTTTTCAACTTTTTTTTAATTTTAATTAATTATTTATAATTTAATAAAACAATTTAAGCCCTCCACTGTACACTATCGTAATTTCTCAACATCATTGCATACTGTTAGGCACTGAATGAAGTGCGTAGCGTAAGCAAACTACAACTTTGTAAATTGTATGTATATAATTAATTCCAATCTTGCTGATAAAATGTGCTTAGTGAAATAAATAACCAAAAAAGCCAACCTTTCGCTCGGTTGAGCCTACATTTTGCTCTTAAAACACTTTTTATTACCTTAAGCGTTCATTAAGTTGGTGTTTTCACGCTCGGCTGCCTTACTTTTGAAATTCCATTTGCCTTTCTTTCATCGCTTGACCTGCAACTTTTTAATTATGAAGACCTTTTTAGAGTATTAATCCTTTCCCCCCTCCCCCCCCACACTTTTCTTGCACTCAGCTTTTTATGACATTATTTACTAATTAATATACCTTATGCTTATCGCTGTTGTTGTTGTTGTTGTTGTTGTTGTTGGTTCTAATCTCTTTGTAAAATATTAATTTGTATGTGCTTTGTTTGGCAGGAGCAAATGAGATTTTGTAGCGAAAAGAAATAACAAAGAAAGGATTTTACTTTTCACTTTTTTCTCTTCTTTCATTCATACTTTTCGAAGCCTTTCTGCCCGCAATTGTTTAATAATTAATGTGTTGGCTAAAATTTTGAATATCGTTGGTGTTAGTTGCCTTAATCTTACAATATAATTGTTTATAATTATACTTTAAGCAAATAAATAAATAAAATTAGATTAATAAATATTTTTTTATTTTTTCTTATTAAATTCAATATAAGTTTACATTATTAGTTTTTTTTTATTATTTTCATTGTTTTAATTATTATTTAAACATAATTTTATTCCATATGTTTTAAATTCACTTAATTAATTTTTTATCTACTTTTGTTAATTTGTTTTGTTTCATTGTTTTTTTTTTATGTAATTTAGTATTTTTAATATATTTAACACAATTTTTATTTACTATGATTTAACTTAATTTATTTACATTTTATTTAATCAAAATAAAATTTTCATATTTTTATTATTTATTTTATTTATTGTGTTTATTAAATTAAATTAATTATTTTTTTTGGTTTTTTATTTAATTTAAATTAATTTTTTTTATAAACTAATTTTATTTTCTTTTTTAAACATATATTAATTTGTCTCAATTTAATTGAAATTATTTGAATTAACCTGAGTTTACTTTATTTTCTCATTTATTTCATTACAATTGCTGTCACTTAAAATTTTCTCACTTTATTTTATCTCATTTTATTCAGTTTTATTTTGTTTTCTCTCTTCTAAATATCCTTAACAGCCTTAATTAATCACGTTTCCCTTTCAATTTCCCAATTCGTCAATCGGCAGACGTGCAAAGCTACACTCCTCCAGAGCTCATTTCCTTCTCATTTCTTATGCAAGGAACTTCTCGGTGTATGTGTGTTTGTATGTAACTCCTCTTCTGTGTCTACATTTTCCAATCTCATTTTTAAATTAAAAATTAATTATATGTATTTATATTTATGTGATTGTGTATATGTTTGTGTATCGCGGCAGCTCAGAGTCCAGGTAGCCTGGCCCGGCGGCAGTCCTCAGTTGATGCATAAATTAAGGCGAACGTCTCGATTAACATACAAAGGCTGTAAGCAAAATAACACAAAAGAAAAAATCCTTACAACTACAATACAAATACCACTAGGCAATATGGCAATTGTTTTTGCAGTCCTTGTTGTAGTAAATCAAGTTTGGCTGTACCGGCTGCAGCAGCAGCAGGAGCGAGAGCAGGGGCACGAGTAGGATTGTGGTTGACGCTGGGATTTGTTTCTTGGCCAAAGAAATCAAATTTGAATTTTAATGGATTGTGAATGTAAAATCACAACAGAGTATACAAATGTAAATGTCCCTATGTACGCCGGTATATGTGTCGCTCGTTGTATATGTATGTGTGTATGTATCTGTGTATTTTAGTTGGCAATGTTTGGGCTTCTTGTTTATGGTTTTTTGGTGGTTTGGTTGGAAATCGGCATGTAAAGGTATGCAAATGAGACGCAGGTTGCTTGATATCAGAAATAACAAAGGATTCTTCTCGATTTTCAGATATTAGAAATTCATGAAAAAATGAAGAGTTAAAAAAAACCTCAAATTAATTTGAAATATTTATTGCATTCAACTTAGATAACTTAAGTTGACTGTAATTTAATTATTTTGAATTTACTTATTATTTTAACTTGATCTCATTTTTTTAAACTAAATTCTATTTAATTTGGTATAATTCAACTTAACAGAATTTTGATTTAATATAAAATAATTGAATTAATAATATTAAAAACATATTTAGTTTATAAAAAAAAGCATCTAAAGTAATTTACATAATTTAATTTAAATGCGTTTATTGAATCAATTATTTTTTTTTTATTTATTTAAATTAAATTTAATTTATTTTAACATAATTTAGTTTCACATATTTTTATTTGATTAAATTTATTTCAAAAGGTTAATTTAATTTAATTATAATATTGCAATCGCAAAAAAAAATAACAAAATTCCCGCAGTCGGCGCTCCTAAGCTTTCCCAACCACGTGACATTTGTGTCATGTGCAACCGAAAATAACTCGCGAATTTCGTCAGCGCCTTTTTGTGTAGGCACTTAAATTTATTTCAAAACTTCTTCTTTCTTTCCACAATTTCATTGCGATTTGCAATCAGCAACAACAATTCAATTAAGTCGTCAGCGAGAAATTTTCATAATTCAAAACACGCACAAGTGCTGGCTGGGCAAACGGCGTAAAGCTGGTAGCAATCAGACCCGACCAGCCGACCAGTCGACCTCCCTCTCTCCCTATCTTCCTTCCAACCAACCAACTAAGGCAACGCAACTGTCTTTAGTGCGCAGGCGCAAGCAATTTTCGCGCCAACCGAGCTTAGCAATTGCGCCGTTAGTCCACTTATGGCTTGCCAAATGGCCCACCAAATGCCGCTTAATGCATTTCGGTTTTCATTTTCAAAACAATTTTTGCTTTATTATTAATTCTATTGTTTAATTTTAATGCGTTTAATTCGTTGCACGCGATGTGATTTGCTCAATATCCCTGAGTGATTTAATAATGCTCTAAATGTCGGTTGAGTTGTGGGAATATGTCGCTGACGGTGTCGCAAGCCGCTGAGTTCGGTCATCCGGTGCGTTCAGTTTGCTTGCTCGGGAGGCACTGTGATTGCCCTACACTAGGGAGGATAAGCTTCCTAGGAGTACTGTCGCGAGAGAGAGAGCGCGGAGACGCTAGCAAGGTTTCCATGGTGAATATGAACGTTTTCTTTTGGATCTCAAGGTCGTTGAAATTAATTAAACATTTTGCAACTATTTTCTGATTATTTGAACGACGGACGAATGACTGATTCGAGAATGGCCATTTTTTATGGCCCAAAACAAAGCTGTTACAACACCTCGACGAAATTTTTACGAAATTGTGATAAATTCTTAAAGAAATGAATCTCTCAAAAGACAAAAGGAAAATTTCCCGTTCATTCAAGGCATTTCCATTATACTTCTTAACATTCTCAACGGCTTTATGCATTCTTTTTATAAGTTTTTGATAAAGAGTTCCACAGTTAAGCTGAGGCTTATTCGAATTGAAATGATTAATCAAACGAATGAAAGATATTTTTTCCACCATCTCCTGTTTCCCTACGATCCTACCCCCCTTCTTCTATCCCTCTCCTCTACCCCTCTTCTTCTACCACTCTCCATCTACAATATTTTCCTTTGTAAGGCTGTTAATGTTTAGAAAATCAGCCATTGCTCATTGCACATTACGAAATATATTTTATGATCAATCGATCAACCGTTTCAAAAACCATTATCGCCCGTTTTCCAATGCTGCAACACCAGACCGCTGCGAGCGCTCAATTTTACGGCATTTTCCACTGCGCAGTGGTTCGAAGAGAAAGAAGGAGGGCGAGAGAGGACGAGAGAAGACCAGCTAATCTCCGTTGTAAATCCAAATCTTCCATTAACCCAATCTAAACCCGGATGAAAAGCGAGCGAGTCAAAGATGTAAATAGAAAATAAAAATTAAAAATTAATAATAAAAATAAATTACAAGAAAAATCATGACTTAAATATTATAATACGAAGCACACACTGACCCAGTGCCTGCGGACTCGCCGTCATACCAACTCGTCATCACACCGACTCGACGACCAGTTTGCATTATGATTTTTTGTTGTTATTATAGCAAATCATATTTCCTTACACTTGCTATTCGCTGAAGCTCTG